TTGAATATATTAGGTAAATATACATATTTGATATTACCTATAACGAATGGAAAACTTTACGTCCCCTCAAACATTATAATAATATACATATAGTGAGGAACATAGTATGTAACATGGTATATTGTTGATGTATGCGTTGTTTTGTACAAGTAGGGTCGAAATCGATAAACGAATATACGAACGAAAGTTCGCAAATAAATACAAACTTTTGTGTATATATTTTATACTCGCCTATATATTGTGCTGAACCGAAACACTCGTTTAACTTATCTTCGCTCTCATAAAAGTCGTATAACATTTGGTATTTTTTCTGTAAAACTTATTTATGATTTTGTAAATGTCTTATATTTACTTGGTTTGATTTTATTAAAAAACAATAACCATGGGAATCATTTAGATATTAAATATAAAATATACCTACTATAAATATTACATATAAACAAAAAATCATTGGACATTCAATGGTTTATTTTATGTGAATTTTATTGATAATAGCATACAAATATTTTAAACGTTTTAGCTAGACTATTAGAGATCAACAATAAATTGTTTTTTATTATGCCTGGAAATGATTCTACTGAGCAACACGTATGTACAACAATCTGTGCTATAAATTTATTATCATTGTATAATAATAAATATTATATTAGGATAATCAAAATGGTTCTTTTTGGCAAATTTTGATTTCTCAAAAAAAAAATATCAAGATTGCAGAATTATAATAACTTTGCTAACCATATTTTATAACCTTCGATTTCATAAATAAATTTAAAATGTTTTTAAAAAACAAAATAAACATAAATATACCGATTTTAATATTTATGAAATGTCACTAACATACTTATACTTTAAACATGAAAGAAACAAGTTAATAAAATAATTTATTATACTCAGTTTGTTTACAAAAATAAATAAATAATAATTATTAATATTGTATTGCTGATAATTTCTGGATTTTATGACATTTATTTTGTATATATAGCTCTACACTTTTGAGTATTTACATAATTATTCTAGACATTATCTGTAATAAAATATAAGTATATAATAATAATAAACATTTTCTGGTTCAAATATCCCTAATGGTTTTTATAGTTAAGTATCTACTACCTACAATAAATTGACTAATATTAAATTTTTTTCTAAGTTACAGAATCAAACATGTTGTCATCCAATCAATAGAATAACTGATGAATTTACAAATTATTTAGAAAAAACTGGCGTTATTGTTAAAATAACTGCTGTATTAAAGCAATTGTATGAAATGAACGAAAAACCGATTGATCCTCTCGAGTATTTATAACGATTTTTTTTAATGAAAGATATTATGATTTTTGTATATTAAGCAATATAATTTAAAGAACCAAAACTATATTTGTAATAATTATACACAAAATATGTCATTTAATTTATTATATTCTATTAGAAATTAAAATATTGAGGGTTATATGGGTTAAAAATTGAATGTAAATATTATCTGTTTGCGTGGTATCAATTAACTTAATTCATAAATTTATATTAATTATAGTTAACTTTTATCCCACAACGGTTCAAACTTCAAATCTTAAAAATTGATCATCAGAACTTGTTTTATATTTATTAGTTGTTTTACCTTCTGAACTATATAAACTTAAGTTAGTTAAATTATAAAACCCACTAGAACTTGGCCGTTTAAACAATGGGGCAAGTATAGGTAGTTTATAAAATATTTTACATAGATGTGTTGATGTTTAAATTATTTAAATAAAGTTTATGTGTACATAGATACTTTACTTAATATATTTTATTCATTAAACGCTTTATCATTATACAAACATATAGTAACATATTATAATTTCTCTCTACCGAATTTAAAAACATTGAAAGTAAATAGGATTTTAGGATTTTAGATTGTATTAGAGAACTATTTATAGATTAGGTATATAGTTATAGATAAAAATACGATTTTTTGGGTTATCACATTTTCGAATTTTTATAATCTCAAGATGTTCAAGCACATTACTTTAAAAAAATTAAACTGAAATAAAGTATTTTTTTCAATTTTCCATTTAAGATTTTGAAAAGAAAACAATTAAACTTAGAACCTTCTTAATTTGTGATATGCCACCATGGTTCATTTAAAGTTTAATGTTTTAATTTCAATACTTATTGAAAATAATAATACTTTACGGAAAAATTAAAAAGCAAAATTATTTCCTACTATAGTTATTCTTTGTAACTATGTATTTCACTATATAAGGATTTAATATATTCTATATAATATGTATTTTAGTTTTTTGATTCGTTTGTTTTTATACCTACAGTAAAATATTAGTCTTTTATCATTTACAGTTATAAATAATTTATAAACCTAGTACATTTTATAAAAATTTAATGCTACAATTTAAAATACGTAATACCTATACGACATTAAAATATATACACTATTTTAAATAGATTTATACGTACGAATATGACCGAAGTTATCTCAGAAAAAATAGAGTTAACAAAGTTAGAGGAAGAATATGATACCGTAATGCAACAGATTGCCATACTTCAACAAGAGAACATGAGTATGATGAACAGATTAAAGGAATTAGAAAAAAATGAAACTAATTCTGAAGAAAACAGTATATTTAGTGATAATATAAAAACCATGAAAATGCTTAAAAAATAGACTTTTATTGCTATATTTTAATATCTATCTACTGTTGTTTTTTTTTTTTAATTATAAATAAAATAATATAAACAAACATAAAAATATTTAAAAGATTAGAATATATTAAATCTATAGCTTCCTGCAGTTTTCACATAACGTGATAAAATATGCTATTCGTTTTTTACATATTTTATAGGTTATACATGGTGTATATTCTGCTTTTAATAAATTATTGGTACCCTATAAACGATACATGTGTAAAAAACACTTTAAATTAATACAAATATTAAAATATAGTTATTTATAAATTAAAAATAAACAAAAATTTGTTGGTACTAAAACCTATATGCTCGTGAATCTAAATCTGTATTAATACGTATTTGATACAGTAGACTTTATGCCAGCAAAAGTAATGTATGTATAGTGTATAGCTTCAAATAAATTAAAAACATATTTAAACCTTTCCATAGCCTTAACATTTAAAATTACTCAACAAGTATCATTCTATAGTTAATATTTTATTCAATAAATTTAATAGTAGGTACCTACCAAGGTATATAGTTAAATAGGATACTTTGTACTTTTACTTTAAGGAATTAACTTTACGGTTAATTTCTACTTTTAATTATTCACTCATCATATATATACGTATATAGCTACTATATTCGTTTTACAATGATCAATTTTACTTTTTTGAGCAGAAAAAATCGTCCCTATTATAACACAATAAATGGAGAAATTATTACTGTAGAAATCAATCAATAACCGTATTTTAAAAATAGGATTTTCTTAAATTCTTATCGTGGATTTTAAAATATCATTTGAAATGAGCTTATTATTGTAAATTTATGTTTTCATGAATTATTGATAATTTCTGTACTCTTAACTTATCTATTTTTCGAATTAATATTATAATTTATCATTATATACTAATGACAATCGCTAACATGAGCGACTTCATTTATATGTATTTATTTTTAGTTCATTATTTATCAACTACATAGGTCCTATTACTTTAGAAGTAAAGATTGAAAGTGTTCATTTTTAATAAAACAAATGATTGATGATTATTACTTAATAGTGCTATAATTAATTCCCATGAGGATTAAATAAAATAATTATTAAAAATATAATTTAATTTTGTCAAAAACTGTAATATACACTATATAATATTGATTTTATTGTTTTTATAAATTAATAATTTAGTACCGATTGTTTGACTTTTCATATTAGGTAAATACTATACACAATTGTGCTTATCATTATAACTTAATTTAATAATTGTTTACACCTCTATGGTAAATTTATAATCAATTATATTTAATATGTTATCAGTTTACCACTAACTAATCGTCTACAAAATAATATTTAACATTATACGAAGTTAAAGAAATAAAATAAAAGTACTTTAATAGAGGTATTTTGTGCATCAATGCACTAATATTTTACGTATTGAGTTAAAAACTGTGACTATAATGCTATAAATATTATAAATTGATATATAGTATAAAATATATATAAAGGTAAATGCTTAAACATCATATTTAATAAACAATATATTTTATAATGCATTTTTATAACTTATATATTTATTAAATTATGTTCTCCATACAAAATGTATTCTAATACCTATTACCTATGTATTAATGTACACCTAAAATTATAATTTACTACAATTCTAAATAATTAAAACAATAAAATTCAAAAATTCAACGTATCTACAAATTACAATATAATAATAACTATTAAATTAAAAATCATGTTAAACTCTGATAATCTTTTCACATTAAATTATATTCATAGTTTTAAGTTGTGAACAACCAAAACATCTATATAGTTATAATCGCATATATACTACTTATATCTATTTTTTAAGAAAAATTATATTCAGTGATCGTACAGTTTTTGGCGTAAGAGGTTACATTCAATTTATTACATAATTACTATATTAAAGCGTTACAATAATAAAATATGTTAATATGCTGTACCTACTGCATAATATAATATTATAGGTATATAATATAATGTGTGTATACTTCGTGCCAGTTACAATCTGTTCATGATATATAATATGTTAATAAGCAAAGTAAGTATCGATAAAGAATGTACTCTTTTAAGTACATGCGAGCATATATTTAAATACTATTATCGCTATCACAACAGTTATTAATTATGAACGCATATAGCCACATAGGCGCATGTACCTACGTATAATGACGTGAAACACCTAATAAAATTCGAAAAATAATAAATCCCGAGCTGCTGCGAGAGGCACGTGCAATGGCGTGGGACCGGGCAGTGACGATAACAATAACAATTATCAAAAAAATGAAAAATAAAAAATATACGACTTTTGACTTACCGACGGGTTGGCCATACATCTGCGCATCGGGTCCGCAGAGTTCCGGTACGTCGGCGAGTATCGGCCGGGAAAACACGGTCCGGTGGCTGTGATGGGCAACGGCGGTTTGCCGGCCATCATTTTCTCCGATCCATACATCATGGTCATCATACCATTTGCGGCAATGCAGTCGCACGCGACGACGCGTTATCCTGTGCAGCTACGCGTGCGGGGCAGCGGGCGTGCGATAGCAGCGGGGACCCGTGTATGGTAGGCCGCGATCCGGACGAGAGCACGTGAGGTTTTTTAACGTCGTTTCAATAAACGGTGTTTTTATTTTCTATCTATAATATTCTTATCGAAACGTGCAGTCGTGTCGGTATGACGATCACAACACAATGTATAGGTAATATTATTGACTATTACTGCTGTATATAATATACGTATTATCCGTAACCCATAATCGTAGATTTCTGGACGAACGGCAACATGACGGCTGCAATGACGATGACGTAGGTATATCGAACAAGATTATCGTCAGAGGTTAAAAATAATGCTATATTGCACAGTTTTACCCGCGTACACGAAATATTTTCGGAAAAATACGAGTGCCCAATACAATAATATTATTGCTCGTGGGTATAGGCGGGGGTCGCCGTCGTCTGGGCGCTCCGAACACGTGACGCGTGAACAGTGACGATCGGCGCGGAGCGCGTGCAATACGTTCGCGCGTAGGCGTGCGTTTGTGTGTGTGTGTGAGTGTGTGTGTGTGTGTGTGTGTGTGTATGCGAGTTCGCGTGCAAACCCAACAGCAACCGACCGCGGTGTATCGCTCGTATCGCCCGACGGTCTGCGCGTCCGGCGGCACTGTGTATATGTGCGTCGTCCGCTGTGGCGGCGGTCGTGGTCGTCGCGGGGTCGGCGTCGCCCGTCGGTGGCCGTCGCCGTGCCGTGGGCTGGACCGTCGCGTCGCGGGGCGGTCGCGCGTGCGCCGCTCCGAGCCGGCGGTGACGCCATGACGCCGCGCGCTCGCCTGGCCCACGACCCGGCAGAGCGCACGCGCCGACCCGCCGCGCCAGACGCCGCCGCCGACAGCCGGGGTCAAAACGTAAATATGATTTCGGCGTGCCCGCGCATAATGCACACTGATGGGTGTTTTAAACTTAACTACCCCACCACTCCCATCCCGCGAACGCCGATCATCCCTTTCCGCGGCACTCCGTCGTTTCGCATCCCGCTCTCCATCAAGCCGCCGTCGCCGCCACAACCAAACGTCGACGACTGTATTATAATATATATATATATTTATATTATAATATAGTTATATATATATATGGCAGCGCTCGTCCCTTAACTGCGCGGCGGCGATATTCTTCTCCGCCCCCTCACACCCGCCAACCGTTGACGATGGTTATATACACGATATATACACATCGGGAGCGCGCGTGCGCGAGTGTTCTAATTAACTGCGCGTGATAAGTATTATATATAATATATATATATATATAGGTAGGTATAGCTACGTGCCGCGTCCCGAACTCTTACCGACGAATTACATTACAAAAGTACTTATACACTATATAGCTATTCCGTCGGCTTATACAGGTACGAAATTTGCGTATAATAATAGCTGGTACCTATGTGGGTAGGTAGCTGCAGGTATTATATACTACACTTCCGTATAGTTCCGCGAACAAAACCTGCCGCAGCTCGGCTGCATACGAATTGCGTCCCTGACGTAAAAACTGCGATTTGTGACATACGTACCTACCTACCCGTTGCGTCCCGATAATATTTAAAAACTACTGAGTTCAATTACACGGACAACAAAAAATAGCTATATGAAGCTTAGGTATGTCAACGGTATGTTTTATTCTGCTCATTCAAATATCAACAACTTTATTAACATAATACTTAAAAACGCACAAAAATATACTCGCATAAAAATTCGCAATAGTAGTTTAATTATAAGAAAATAGGATGTGAAATATATTAAAAACAATAATTATTGTTAAAATAAGAATATAGTGATTAAATACGACGTAAACGAAATAACACGTTTTGTCCGTTTTGATTTTGTCAAAACCGTATCGTTCAAATTTTTTCCGAGCCATAAATAATATTATAATAACATATAATATTATATAACTTGCACATTATAACTTTATATTTTTTATTATTTTATTTTTATGTTTAACGATGAAAACAATATTTTTAACATACCTTAAGCAATATAATATTTATAATATTTATTTTATGTTGTTATCGAGTCTTAAATTTCTTTCAAATGGGAAAGAAAATAATGTATTTACAACGGACGCTACAATTAGTATAGTTATTAAATATTATCGGGCCGCAATTAATATAGTTGTTTAATATTATCAGGACGCAATTTGTATGAAAAAGGGATCTTGGGACACAATTCGTTTGCACCGCGCAACTCGATGGCTATACGCGCACGTCTACTTATTTCGCTTTAATAATAATTTATCGGTTTTATTATGTTTTTCGATGTAGAGTGAGAAAGAGAGAGAGAGAGTGAGAGAGAGAAGTTTGCATCTTCACCGCAGCCCGACTATTACGAAAATATTATTACCTATGTGGCTACCTGAAATCATGCTATAATAATAATAATAATAATAATAACCTAACCTAAGCCTTACTACAATAGACATATGAGAAAATACACATTCGAGATCGCGGGTGTACGGGAATATATAATTATAAATAATAATCTTAATCTCTTAATCTTTATTTTGAAGTATTGTATTTAAATTATTTAAAGTAAAAATTGATGTGCGATATACCTATACAAGGAGTAGGCTGTTAACATGCTATACGCGATATTTATGCATTTAAAAAAGTGTAATATAAAAAGGTAATTTTCTATAAAAAATCTACAGTATTCATTTTATTAACATATTCCTGAGATTATTCAATATTTTTTATGTTGTTGAAATCAAGTCTTAAAGGTAACAACATAGATACATTGATCAAGGAAGCCATTCGCATACAAAAGTGCGTCGTCAGTAGAGGAACGAGTGTGGCGCAACTTCATACCTTATAAGTTATAAGAAAACACTTTCTCAAAAAACAGACGTCGTTATCAAGACGTAATTTTTATTACTTAAAATAACTGATATGAACTCATGAACAAGTTAAAAAAGGAAATTAAACTTTTTTCATACATAATATGCTATGGTGTTAATATATGAAAGGTGTTATTTAATGATATATCTAAGTAATTTATACATTTACCAAATAAAGACGATAGACCACATGATTTTTAATTTAGCTAACATTCCTCTTTATTGTTTACTTAAAGTTGGAAATAGTTATAGAATAAAATGACATTTCTACAGCGTATGAACTAGTTGGTATTGTTTTCGTGATCAATAACAGATCCGACGATTATTTTATTTAATAATGATAATGATATACATTTCTGCATACATATATGATACAACATCATTTATGTATGAATAATACCTCATCTTTATATTCAAAAATACTATTTTATTTTAGAATTGTATGTTGTGTATTTTAAAATTTCACCAAAGTTATAGATCTCGTAATAGCAAACATAGTATTCCACTATTATTATATGTTTCAAATTTATGCAATTTATAAATTAATATAATTTTTAAAATTTTAAATATTATAAACAAATTTCATTATACATAGAAATTATCGTTGGTATTTTTTATATGATTATTATATTTTCATACTGAAGTATTTATAGAGAAATTTAAAAATAATATGTACATTGTACATATCATTTTGTTCTTATTAAATGTACGTGAAAACTATTTAAAGTTTAAAGATATTATTATTCTTAAATATAATCCAAATTTTTCATTATCAAAAAAAATAAAAAATAAATAATCTAATTTTAAACTATTTAATGATGTCTGTACCTACTTCAAATATTTTTCAATTAAGGAATATAAAAACTTAAACTAAAGCAATTAATTCAACTGTAAAATACATATCGAACAAATGTGTTGATTGTGACACGTAAATATAATTTTATCTTTCGAAATATTTTGAGAACTGAACAGTATTATAAATCATCATAATTTAATGAGAAAAAACAAACACGACAGTTTATCAAAACTTTTTTAAAATATGAATCTATACTTAGTATCAAATAAAATAAACCGTCAGGTTTACCTGTTTAAAAATATTGTTAATATACTGAAAATTTTATTCATCGAAGTATTTATTTGGTTTCTTGCCAATATTGTCCAATATTATTGTTAATATAATATATTCTGAGATGTAAAAGATCTTATGCAAATTTTAAAATTCGTCGAGTTAATTTATTTTAATTTCGTATTAATGATTTGTAAATAATAAAAAAGCTCTGGGAGTCAATCTGCTGTATAGTAAATTTCTAATGCATGCCTGTCTCATTAGGTTAAGCAGATATTTACTTGATGGATGTGTTAAATTTGAATTCACCGTGTCCATTACGAAATTATTTAATTAAAATTAACTGTATTCATTATTACGAGGATATATTTGTATTATTATATATAAAAAAACAATTTCAAGTGAACACAGCACATGTCAGCTTCTATTCCTAAGGATATTTTAAAATTTATATTTATCTCAGTGAGTAATATGGAAACTAGGTTAAACTAATTTTCGCCAAAACATTACATAATAGCATATTATTTAATAATTATAAATTATTTTAATACATCATATATTTTTATTACTTACTTATAAAATTATACCGATGTATCATAAAATGGTTTAAATAGTTTACAATTAATCTAAACATTTTGAATATATAAATTTATATTTTTAAGATTTTTAGATACTTATATAAAATTTATATTGTATCCCGATTACAAAGACTTCGTCGTATATTTAAGTTTAGAATATTAAACATTTTCTCCTACAAAATAAATATCAAATTTTTGCTTTAAATACTTACAATAATTGTGAAATTTTTCCGTAAGAAAATACTTATGAAAAACTTTGTACATCATTTTTAAGCTTTATGACTTACTGATAAAAAACATAAATGTTCAAAAATGTAGATTTTTCATTTATTATTCATATTTAGAAAATGCTAATATACATATTATGTTGTAAACATTTCTACCGCAAGGTTATTCTTTATTGATTGCATAACAACAATAACAACAACAAAAAAATCAATTTTATCAGAAGACGGTTTTGCAAAAATATTCCAGTTTTTCTTGGTACATTTTTTATTGTTTTTTTTATTATTTTAAAAACGATTAACTTATTATTAATTTTCGGATTTTTATAAAATATCAACTAGGTTTAATCTGCTACTAAAGCATCCTGAACGTTTATGATTGAAGTATTTTTACTGTTCCTAAAGACAATGTTAGATACAAATTCAAAAATAACAACATTGTATAGTTAAATATTTACAATATATTCATTGTCCTACTTAAAATTTAAAAAAGTAAATATTTTTGAATAGGTAGTGAATGTAATTTTATATCAAATTATACGTTACATATAACGTTTGCAGTCACACTCCAATCTATTATTAACTCTTATTTACCAACTTAGAACGTAATTGTCCCCCCCCCCCTAGGATCCGTTACATTACAAAAGTATAAATCTTAAGCACCAATCTTAATATAAAATGTACCTAATATTCCATATTTCTAAATATATAACATTTAGTCCGTTTCAGATGAAATAGTGAATAAATTCGTATTAATTATTAGTAAATAATAATTACATATTTTTCACTCGGTGGTTGATAGAGAATCTACTCTATATAAAACCTATTATTAATAATTGTTTTTCTCTAATTATATCTTTTGAATTGAAATCTCTTAGTTCACGTTCGATATTCGTAT